ATTAGTACTCATATTCGCTCCAACGGGGAAAACGGCCACGCCACCCTGAACAACCCATAAGTTGACCAAGCGGAAGTTTTCTCCTCTCCCTTCCAGCCAACCGGCATTTTCAGCTTTTGAACCGTTTTGAACTGGAGTCTTGTTGACAATGCCGAGCACTGGTTCCTTCAAGAACACGCGTGGACGGGTATGGCGAAGGGGCAATGCCAGGAAGGGGAGAGGGGGAGTGTTGTGTCGCGTAGTGTGGCGGGCAGCTGATCCCGAGGACGAAGGTCGGGCAGCGGACCGCGCCGGAAGCCAGAGCGCAGAGCAGAGATTACAAACAAACGGCAGGCGGCACCACGCGTTGTGCTCTATGAGCTCCGTGTCGCCGTCCTGGGGTCACTGATCGTCCTTGCCGCCTTCAGAACGCGCCTAGCCCGCTGCTCAAAAACAACTTGTGTAAGAGCAAAAACTAGTTTTGTATACACGTTGATGTACTTTGCCGGACAATGGCGCGCAGGCCTAACATGCGGGGGTTGCACAGTTCGATCCATGGAGACGTTGATAACTCTTACCCGAAGCTCCCGGACCGAAGGAGCCCACAAATTTTGAATTCAGGTGCACGAGGTCATAGAAAACAGTTGGAAATACTATTGAAATAATGAAAATCTCGTGAATGCCTCTGAATTATTCCCAGGAAATCCCCCAAAGTCCATCGAATTCCAAGGATTGCCTTGAACTCGTTCCAATTGAAATCATCGTAAAATCCCTACAGTTCAAATGACAAATAATTCATAAATATTCATGTGTTCAAGTGAAATTATTTTAAATCATTCAAATTTACTCTAGAAATTCGGTTGGAAATGAGTGAAATTCACAATTAGTGGAAATCTTACTCTAAACACTGGAAATCTGACTGAAACCCTGTTGAAATCGTGTGAAATCTTTCAAATTCGGCATTCGGTTGTTCAAGACTTTTCGGGGTCGAGCCCTCTTCCCCTGCACGCCCCGCACTAAGGGCGTTGTAGGCGGGCCGCCGACTACACGCAGCTGCTTGGCGGGCTGGCCTACCCAAGCGGCGCTTGCAGTAGCATCGACCCGTACTTTCGCTGTGAGGACATCTAGGTTCTCGCCTCGTGTACGTTTTGCAATGCTATTTACCGGGTGATTCAGAGACGTTCAGAGAAGACGAGGCGCGGGCGGATTTGCCTACCCGCTCTGACAGTAAGGCGCCATAGCCCCTTGGGTAGGCAAACCCGCTTGCATCTCCGTCTTCTCTGAATCACCCGGTACTGTGTGTCGGCTCAGCCCCGTACGATCAGGCAGCCCGTGCGCACGGCTGCAGGCGGCACGGCCTATCTGCAGGGAGCGCGAGGCCCACACCGGTGTGTATACCCCGCCCACCGAGTATGATGGTCCTGGAATGACGTCACGCCATCGTTGACTTCCCGAAGGCATCGCGTCGCCACGGCTACGTGTGTCTGGCACCGCAGAAGCCGTGTGTGCTATGTGTTTGCGAGAGAGTGCGAGAGAGTAAGAGAGAGTGTGAGTGAGTGAGTGAGTGAGTGAGTGAGTGAGTGAGTGAGTGAGTGAGTGAGTGAGTGAGTGAGTGAGTGAGTGAGTGAGTGAGTGA